CGCTGATAATCTAATTGCAGATTGTTTTCTCTGCGAATTATTATTAGTATTAATTTTTTTTTTCCATTCAAAATTTTTATTGTTTTAGCAAAAAGAAGAGCAAGATATGAAAATAGAAATAAACCCAACATGAGATATAGTCCACAAGACGTAGGTCTCTTCACTTGGTGTTATTAGTACAAAAGCATCACATGACAACGTGGATCAGCTGCAATGTTATGGCACTAGGCCATCCTAAGGGCAATATGTCGTGCAACAAACATCCTCCAGGCGGAAGGTCTTATCCTGTATTCACAGCCCTTCTTGTTTGCCCAAGGACAGTCTGTATCTTGGGACCTTTACTTCCCATGCTATACAGAGGGCATGTCCCCTTAAAGCCTAAGAGGTAAACTCGCTAGTGTGAAATCCAACTCTACCCGCTTATGGTTAACTACGTCTTAGTACTATCAATAAGTGCGACTGACATAAAGGGCAAGGTTGACCACAGAGTGTGGGCCCAGATATTCTCCCCCTAGAGAAGACAGAGAGTGGGAGAAGAGACGTAGGAAAGAGTCCGAGGAAGGATAGAAGAGAATTAAGGTAAGTAAAGGGGATGGAGGTCTATATGCAAATGTTTTATAAATAGACCCCTTTATGTTGAGGAAGAGAGATTACAATAAACCGCTGAGAGCTCCCGCTGGTGGTAAATCTAGGAAATTCTATAACTTACACAATAGCAAAATATGAAAGTGCAAACATGTAGAATTATAAAAGTAATTTTTAGGGCAAAACAAAAGATTTACTAAAATGTTAGTCTTGCATGCTATTAAACTTGCCTTCCCTTAGCTCCCATGCTGCTCAGTTCAGCAGAACAGTGAAGAAATACCTAATACTTCTGTGTATGAGGACCCTGTTTCTCTTCCCCCTCCCCTGCAGGATGCAACACTGGGTACCTGGGAACACAATCGCCAGGGCCTTACTCTGTCACGTGGGGGGCAAAGCCCTCCTTAAGATTAGACCACAGTGATTTGGAGTGTACACAGGACTACTACAAATGGAGCAGCAGAGGAGCAAAGGGTAGGTAATGGTAGAGTAAAGGTAGGTGCTGATATATCAGGGCTTATTTTAAAACATAAACTATGCACTGGATTAAACATCAACCGATAGCTTTTAACAGCATAACATTTGACTTCCCAAATATGATTAATACATTCATCATCATGCAGTATTATCCTTCAGTCTGCTTTAGGCATACACCTGACAGACAGTGTACTAAAAGATGATGGGACATGTAATTCTATTTTAAAATACAGACTTATTAAATTGATAACTGTATTCTCTGTGGAAACTCCCATTGGGCTCTTACATTGAAAAATTTAGACCAGAACAGAAGCGCACACAGTTTGTCAATAGACATTGCGTTAATCCTTCAATATATATAGTAGGCCTGAGGGGGATGTTAAAGATAGCTGAAGCTGTGCTTTCAATTAGAATTACATGTAAAAGAAAATAGATGCAATTTAAATATTGAAACACGGGCGTGTGAAATGGGGAACTTATTTCTGTAATCTATACACAGTATCAGCAAACAAACCCATACATACTCCAAAACATTCCATTAGAGAGTATCTAAAACCAAACCTTTTTTTTTTAGTTTTGGGAACAAATATAGAAAGATTAACTCTTCTGTTAGGTTTATTTTTACCGTAACTGTCCAATTAAGAAGATTTTCTTTCATTTCCTGTAATGCAGACATAACAGGAAGAGAGAAACTAAGAGAAAATCTCATAAGTGAGGTAATCCTCACTTGCACTATTGTTATCAAAACAAGTGTCCCTACTGGACATTTTCCCTTTTATTCCTGTTTCACTGAGAAGTTAAAGTGACACTAAACTTAGGAGTTAAATCTTAAAAATACATTAAATGACCTTGACTATTAACAAACATGTATCTTATTTGTGTATAACTCAGCTGTATATCCTCAAATCATCTCTGAATTGGTGCTGACACTGTCCTTCCTTCTGGAGGGTGACTACTTTAGTTCACCATGTAAAGTAGCCACCGCTCCAAGCTCACACCTGTGATGGACTATAATTTAAATACCGATTAGTAAACTAAATGTGCGATTGTAGCCCATCATGGGAGCAAGCTTGGAGCGGTGGCTACGCTACAACACACAGGGACCATGGGGAACAAAAGTATCCACCCTCTAGAAGGAAGGACAGTGTCAGCACCAATTCAGAGATGATTTGAAGACATACAGCCCAGTGATACATAAATAAGCTACATTTTTGTTAATAGTTATGGTACTTGAATGCATACAGTGGTACCTCGGTTCACAAACGCTTCTGTTTGCGAACAATTCAGGTTCGCGAACAGGAAGTTTGGCAAAATCTTGCTTCCATTCGCGAACTCCGCATCACTTGACGAACACAACCGCAGCCATCTTCCCTGCTCTGACACGCGGTCATGGCTTCCTCTAGTCAAGATCGCGGTCTGATCACAGTTTCATTCGGTTCCCGACTAGAATCATGAAACAAATTAGGTTCCTGAACCAAGGTACCAATGTATTTAGGATTTAGGCCCTGAGTTTAGTGTCACTTTAAAAGTGGTCTTTGACCTTACTTTCATAAAGATATACTAAGATATATACAGGAAAGGTGAACATACCAGTGAGGATATAGAGAACAATAACAACCTGACAGGGCTGTTAACCTTTCCCTATTCTATTAAAAATAAAGTTTTGGCTTAAGATGCACTTTAAGTCATAAGTATGCTTTGCTTACACTAGATGATCTGTTTGGTATGTGCTTCAGGTGAACTTGACCCGGCCTTAAATGCTTCTAACGTAACTGCAATTTGCAACAATAGCAGCACTTTGTTGATGTTTGTGTCTTTGTGGACCCCTTTGTATCCTAGGCCCTTGCTGAACATGGAGCCAGAACCTCTGCCCAAATTGAGAATAAGCCTCTCTCCTCCTTATGAGTTGGTCTGTCCCAATGATTTAACTACCATATGCCAGAAATTCAGTGACAGGTGGAGACACTGGTGAACATCTATTGGAAATATTATACTACTAAAAAAGCCAAAAAGATGATAGCTAGTTAAGAACTTCTTTTCTTTAAAGCTGATTTCCAGGCAGGTATTAATGAAGCACCAATCAATGCAGTTTTTGTATTCAAAGCAGCTCATATTGAGAGAAGGAAAGGGTTAATCAGGTGTGCTGCAGTGAATATGATCTAGCAAGGAACATTCTGACAGGAGGTAAGGGCAGATTTAAGCGACAGTTGACTCATCACTATGCTGTTTCTCCTTCACTATCCAAACACAGATTTGGGCTAGAGAAGTGGGTTTGCTACATTACTTAAATGCAGTAATAAAGTCAGGTTACCAACCTGTCTGTGCTGTCTGTTAGGGATGTCTATGTCTTATGACTGAATGGATAGATATACAAACCCCTTTCCAGGTAAAAGGCTCCCATATATGTATTTCAGCTATGTATGTATCTGTTTGCCTGAACTGCCTGCCAGCTTTAAGGTCAGATGTATGGTGCATTCAGATGTTCCTATCCCCTTTACCCATCTATCTGATAATATTTATAATATTATTATTATTATTATTATTATTATTAAAAATAATAAACTGTGCATATCTGTGCTATCAGCAAAGAGAAAATCAAAAACAGCCAGCTAGTCAAGAATGCACATTTTGTACAGAAGTTCTGTGCACTATTAAGTGGGACATCCAGCATTGAATCCCAAATTATGTAATAGTGCTCCAAAAATCTAATAGGGCATATACGAGTGCACTTTCCTCAAAACACAACTTTTCCAAATAGAAAGACTCTTTTTTACAACAATGTCAAACAAAGTTTAAAAGGCAGAGAAGAGAGAAGACAAAACCATATGCATAACACTCAAACTTGTGCTATCCTCCTCCCAACGGAATAGCCACACTTACTCACAGAGTGTGACCTTTCAATTACAAGATGGCCAGAAAGCCCTTTTGTAGCAATATATATCTTGAATTGCTCACCTCAACAACAAGTGAAAAACAAAGTCTATCAAGAAGGGAAAATACTCCAAACTGAGTAGTACATCTCAGACCTAAATGTTATTTAAAGCCAAACTCCAGGTATAAATATTTATATATGCTTACATTGGTCCAGCTTGGCAAGTGTAAGTAGACCTATTTTATATCTGCAAGAGCCATGGTAACTCTGGTAGCTGGAGCTGCTACAGTGGTTTACAGTGATCTTCCGCATCCTCACAGCTGAGTGACTTCCCCTCTGCTGTGAGAACACAGGGTGATGCTTGCTCTGCACGTCCGGGCATTCTGTATTTTGTACTTATTACTAGGCATCCTTCTATTATTTAATTATTGCTAGCCATTTTCTGATTGGATGAGGGGTGAATTGTGGTGCCACTGCCACAATCAGAAAATGCCTAGTATTCATTGAAAACAATACCAACTATTGGCTGAATGGCCATTGTGCCGAGCGAGCAATCCTCCCTGTCTTCACAGCAAAGGGGAAGTCACCCAGCACAGCAGAGGTCCAGGACCTGGAAGACAACAGTAGTAGCACTGGCTATTATAATGCTACTATAACGCTTTACTGGATCCCCTTTTCTCTACCAGGTATAAAATATGTATACTTGGGACAAGCTGAACCAATGCAAGTATGTATAAATATTTATACCTGGAGTTCAGCTTTTAATGCCACATGCTATATGCTACATGATTCAGCCAGTAGGACTATTTCATGGGTCCTGACTAGCTCTTATTTTTTTAGATTTGTGAGCATTTAAACAGTTTATCTTTAAAGTTGTTTTAAATAAAGTTTGGGTCTGAGACTTCTGGTTATACTGTAACGAAACTGAGCAGAGTTACAGAGTAATTCATACAACTTACGTGTTTAATACCTTACAAATATTATGTTAATAACAAGTATTAAACCATTGTTTGTTCTGATGAAAGTCAAAAATATTTCATTTTATGTATATGAAATACAAGCGACTCACCCGTCAGATTTCTCAGTCCGAGCTCACGCAGTCCATGTTTTCCATCCTTCAAATAGTTCAGGAAGATGAACAGTGCATAACGGTCCTCATACAGCTTGGTTCCACGAATAATTCGTAGGTTCTCAAGTGGAAGATATTCAAACTGGTTAAGAGCTACAAGGACATATCCTGTCACCTCACGGATGGACTGCAAGAACAAAAGAAATGTGAGTGAATTGACTATCCTGCAGACCATGTTTTCACAGCTCTAACAATATATTTTACGAAGAAACAAGCTAATCTGTAAAAATAAATATATAGATACAATTAATACACATATTTAAGCACTCCTAAAGATGCCAAAATTCACAGATATGACCCCATTCACTTCTGCATGAGCACCCAAGTCTCCAACATGCTCACATATTAAACTATTTATTTAGCCTCTGTGCTCCAGCTGAGACATGATAGGTTTGCAGTATACAAAAAGAGGGAATGTAATTTCAAGCTCTTCTCTGGTTATCTCCTTCAAACTTTTACATCTACTGTATGATCTTAATTTGATGCTCTTCGGAAACATCAAAATGTGAGGACATCACAAACCTAAAAATACACAGTGACAAGCCTGAAATCTTGTTTTGCAACACTGTCAGTGCAATCCATTTTATCCATATATTACATTCTTTTTCTTCTTTGATTAAAGCTGAACTCCAAGCTGAGGAATCCTTACCTGCCAAAGGATTTGTGTTTTTTGTATCCATCCAGACCTGAAATTTAAACTACCCTACCACACAGCACAGCCCTGCCTGGCAGGGCAGAGCTCCTGGCTTTTTTCTGCTGCAGCTAACTATCACTTAAAGGTGTTGTCACTGACCCAGCATAGTACTGGACAATAAAGGAGAAGCAGCAGACTGATGAGCTAATCTTTCCATCACTTGCCTCTCTACTCTTATCAGTATGTTCCTTGTTAGCACATTAGCACAGCTGATTGGTTCCTTTGTGCTGCTTCTGGCTCTTCCAGCCTAAACAACGCTGTGCAGGGACTACAAATGACTAATGCGAACTCAAACTCAGGTACTTACACTACTTGTCTCTACTTGTCTACTGGAAGAGACCTGCAAATATTACTTGACTACAGTAGAGAAAGAAATCAGGTCTCCTGCTCTGGAAGACAGGGCTGTGCTGTATGGCAAGGCTGTACAAATCTCAAAACTGGATGGGCAGAAATACAGAAATACAAATTTTTTGGCAGGCAAAACAAGCCATAGTTATGATGTCTTAGACTGAAGACGTACATCCAATGCATACAAAGTCATGTGAATTGGACGACAATCTAACGTCTATGGCAGCAGACCCTGCACCCCACCATCACCGGTGACCACTTTGGGAGTACAAATTTATGTGAGAGAGGGTTGATAGAGTTGGCATGAGGTTTTCAAATTGTACCTGCACATCCAACAGTTTATAATTTTATAAGGGGATAAAGCACACTTTTTCCTATTCTGTTTTAGATTAATTTATTCATTTAGATTGGAAAGAACCCGAGGGCATGAACAGAAAGAACAAAAAGAGCAACAGGAGAAGAAAAAATGGGGAGAAAAATAGGGGAAAGGAAAAAAGTAGGAGGGCTGAATAGACAAAGTGGTAGGGGAGGGGGAAACCAGTTGCCCGGGAGATACATTCACATCAGAAGGAAAAAAGGGAAAAAAGGGTTTTGGTACAACCACATAGGGAGGGAGCCTAAGTACATTCGGTAGGGTGGTCAGACACCATCACGCTCAGGTATGGGTCTGTGGTTGTGTAGAAAAGCCATGGTCTCCACGTGTCACAAAATCGCTCCCCTGGATCATGGAGGTTAGATGCTCCATTTGGCAAAACTCGTTGATTTTTGTAAACCAAAGCTTTATGGAAGGCAGTTGGGAAGATTTTCAAAGGGAGGGGACACAGGTCCTAGCAGCATTGAGAGAGAAAGGATTTGTATTTACATATAGAACTGGCTGTCATTTGCAGCAAGAAGGCCTCCGGATTCGGATTCAGGTCCACCAAGACGAGTTGTCTGATGATGTCTCTGACCTTCTCCCAAAAATAACGCAACCCGGGGCAGGACCAAAAATAATGAAGTGGGGTACCGAATCGGCTCCACAACATCAACAGGTTGAGGGGATACTAGCTTCGATTTTATGAAGGCCTGAGGGAACTCTGTACCATCAAGATACCAGCTAGTATCCCTGCTCCTGGATTTTGTTAGCAATTGAGGACTAATGAGCAAAATAAATAATCTTTTCTCGCTGTTAGGGTAGAAAATGACACCTCCAATTCCTGTTTCCATTTAAGATATTTAATTGTTTTGGTATAAAGCTTATGGTTGTCCTGTATTCTTCGCCAGCATAATATGTCAGAGATGTACATATCATATGTCACCAGTAGTTCTCTCTAACCCTGTATATCATCATCATGTCTGTTGGTACAATTTAATTTCTTCTGTGTCACAGAGAAGGAATCACTTACCCCAGCTGTCACCTGTATAATGGGAGGAGGGTTATAATGGTCATTTATCACCCGTTACAAATAATATGTAGAAAAGAAAATCAATGTGTCCTCAAGAAAGACGCACAGATTACCCAAGAGCTCTCATGTCTGCATTTATTTTCTGTGTTCATAAATCAGGTACAATACTACAAGATATGCTGTAGACCTCCATTTACACACTGTTTAAATGATTCATTTTTAGGATTACACTTCATTATTATGATATTTATTATAAGAGCGATTCATTTGCAAGTTCAGTGGGCATATTGTGTAGAGGAAGATAATGTATTCAGTGATATGTATCATATGTTTTTGAAGGTGCATATTATAGCTACATTTCAGAATGTAAGTTGGCTGTAGACTTGATATAGAGTCTGGTATCAGTGTACTATTATATACTCTTCCTGTGCCTTGGAAACCTTTTACCATGGTGTGGATGTATCTTGACTGATCCCAACCACAGCTGTAGTGACATCTGTCACTACAGCTAACTAAATGGACACCATGTTCGGGTGTGAGGGCATTCCCCTGGCATTGTTCTTGGGTTTGCCTATGTACTTCTCTGTAACCAATGTCACTTTGTTATGTAATTGATGGGTTCTTACGTTCACTATGTTGATATTTACAAAACTGGCCTGATTTGTATGCATATTTCTGGGTCTGTGTTTTATTAGCCTTTCTGATACTTCCAATACTGAGCATTGCAACAGGGAACTCACTGGTCTTGTAAACAGTTTCTTATTTGGAAGCCTCCAGAACTACAGCCAAAATATTTTTTTAAGGTTACATATAGTGTGTAAGTATTAGAATCTTAGAATCTCTTTTTTCTCTGTCTTAATTTAGGGGGACATGATCACTTCCTATTTGATGGCAGAAAAGATGAGGGAGCACCTCCCAACATGCAGTCTGATTGAACAGACAGAACAGGAAGTGAGGGGGGAAACTATTTGATGAGTGTCAGATATAATTTTTTACATAGTATTTGTGGTTGAATAAAAGACATACTTCCATCAAGTCCAACCCATATAGGTCAACGCATCATCTCATTCTTAGGGATACTGGTATCCCTGGATATTACGGTCCCTCAAGAAATTGTCCAAACGTTTCTTGAACAAATCTACACTCTTGGCTGAAATCACTGCCAATGGCAGTGAGTTCCAGACCTTAACCACTCTTACTGTAAAGAACCCTCTTCGCCCATTGTGCTGGAACTTTTTCTCCACCAACTTTAGGTGGTGGCCTCTAGTCTTTGTAATGGGGTTAATCTCAAACAATTTGTTGCCAATGTTGCTGTCACCATTGAACATCTTGTACATGAAAATCATATCCCCCCTAAATCTCCTTAATTGCACATGTTTAAGTTCAGAAGCCTTGTCTCATAGCTCTGGTCCTCCATTCCCCTAATTAGTTTTGTTGCCCTCCGCTGGACTCTCTCCAGTTCAAGGACATCCCTTCTCAGTACCGGCGACCAAAACTGGACCGCGTACTCCAGATGTGGCCGAACCTCT